TGCGAATCCGCAAAACCAAAAATTACAACAGTGCTAACCATATATTTTAATGAACTAGCGCACACTTTTCACGATTTCGACGCTGCGAATTTTTCCAACATTCAATGTTCCTCTCTTTTGACGCATTCGAAACGCGGCTTGCAAAACTAATAGAAAACGTTCGTAATAATCCTCTTTTATACGATATGGACACGCAGAATTGAATTGGTCAAGATTTAGCAGAATTTTTCAATGTCCCATGAAACAAGTTTATTCGTGTGATTTTAATTACCCCTCATGGGGGTAATTTTGGATACCAAGAATCCGTCTTTTTCCGACCAGTGTGCTTTGTGTCGCTTTTGAATCGATATGCGGGCTCTCCGATTTAAAATAAACGAAACATATTTTACAGGCTTCTAATTGAGTTCAGGAAAGTAAAATTTTCGAACCAACCTAATGTACGTACATAAGGTTGGGTAGCGGACAAAACAAATCGTAACTACCTACGCTAGTTTGGTGACTCATTCGAGTAGAATCTATAGGTTTAAGAGGTTCCGAGAAAATATCCCTCGAGGAAAATTGAAGCATAGGTTCCCGAATTAAATCGATTTTGGCCAAAACATGCCATTTAAAAAAAAAATGTGACGTAGGGGATCAAATAGGTATTGGGGCTTTTGTTAACAAAAAAAAAAACTATGCAAACACATCTGCATATTTCAATTCTATATAACCCAGTTAACCAACAGCATACAAGTTCTTACCTGGTGAAATAACGGGTGATTTTTTTGAGGTTAGGATTTTCATGCATTAGTATTTGACAGATCACGTGGGATTTCAGACATGGTGTCAAAGAGAAAGATGCTCAGTATGCTTTGAAATTTCATCATGAATAGACTTACTAACGAGCAACGCTTGCAAATCATTGAATTTTATTACCAAAATCAGTGTTCGGTTCGAAATGTGTTTCGCGCTTTACGTCCGATTTATGGTCTACATAATCGACCAAGTGAGCAAACAATTAATGCGATTGTGACCAAGTTTCGCACTCAGTTTACTTTATTGGACATTAAACCAACCACACGAATGCGTACAGTGCGTACAGAAGAGAATATTGCGTCTGTTTCTGAGAGTGTTGCTGAAGACCGTGAAATGTCGATTCGTCGCCGTTCGCAGCAATTGGGTTTGTGTTATTCGACCACATGGAAGATTTTACGCAAAGATCTTGGTGTAAAACCGTATAAAATACAGCTCGTGCAAGAACTGAAGCCGAACGATCTGCCACAACGTCGAATTTTCAGTGAATGGGCCCTAGAAAAGTTGGCAGAAAATCCGCTTTTTTATCGACAAATTTTGTTCAGCGATGAGGCTCATTTCTGGTTGAATGGCTTCGTAAATAAGCAAAATTGCCGCATTTGGAGTGAAGAGCAACCAGAAGCCGTTCAAGAACTGCCCATGCATCCCGAAAAATGAACTGTTTGGTGTGGTTTGTACGCTGGTGGAATCATTGGACCGTATTTTTTCAAAGATGCTGTTGGACGCAACGTTACGGTGAATGGCGATCGCTATCGTTCGATGCTAACAAACTTTTTGTTGCCAAAAATGGAAGAACTGAACTTGGTTGACATGTGGTTTCAACAAGATGGCGCTACATGCCACACAGCTCGCGATTCTATGGCCATTTTGAGGGAAAACTTCGGAGAACAATTCATCTCAAGAAATGGACCGGTAAGTTGGCCACCAAGATCATGCGATTTGACGCCTTTAGACTATTTTTTGTGGGGCTACGTCAAGTCTAAAGTCTACAGAAATAAGCCAGCAACTATTCCAGCTTTGGAAGACAACATTTCCGAAGAAATTCGGGCTATTCCGGCCGAAATGCTCGAAAAAGTTGCCCAAAATTGGACTTTCCGAATGGACCACCTAAGACGCAGCCGCGGTCAACATTTAAATGAAATTATCTTCAAAAAGTAAATGTCATGGACCAATCTAACGTTTCAAATAAAGAACCGATGAGATTTTGCAAATTTTATGCGTTTTTTTTAAAAAAAAAGTTATCAAGCTCTTAAAAAATCACCCGTTACATAATTCCGAATTCTCAGGCAACACAAAAACAATAAATACTATCGCCACTCAAATAAAATCACCTTTGTATGCGCGAGAGATGCTCAACAAACAGCAGCGCTCACAAAGTTACCCAAAACATCCCATAATATGTAGTATGTACTCATATTAGCGCATCCATACCTACATACATACCAACTACTCACAGAAGCGGTGCGTCCAACTAGTACTTACTCATCAAGAGCAAAACGTATAAGCATTGTATTAGCTTGTCAGTCGGGTATTGTTGTTCGCGGCAAGCGCATGTGTTGTATGGTTGTGTTAAGGTCAAAGTCGATGCCTTTGTCGTCGTCATCGTTGCTCCGTCATGATCGTCGTCATTAACATTTTCAATTCATTAAATCGGTATCAAAAGTCATGTTAGCTCTTGACTTATAGCGCTATTTCACGTGTTCTTACATTAACCAACTGGCTCTCAACTTAAATACATAGTACGTGGTAGTGTTGACTCGAGCAAATTCTAACGATTTCACAAGTATTACTTAAGCAACATATACTGTATAAGTGAAATTCGCACTATAACCATCAGGTGTATTTTATTTATTTTATACGCGTATGTATTCGCTTTGTAGAAAATTCAATTCAAGTTATTCATTGTTTATGTAACCATGTAACACAGTCTCCGGTACCTATGCTGCTCCTACTGGCACTGGGATTTGATAGTTATTGGGTATTACATAGTGAGTTTTCTGCTGTAGTGGTTATTGTTGTTCTCTTTGGCATGGCTTGGCATTGGCAGAGTGAAAGTCACGAAAAACAAACAATCGACAGCAACAGCGTGCAATGTTCCACAGCACGCCCAGAGCGCCAAATAAAAATGTGGAGCGGAGTGAATTGCAATCATCTGTTTGGTATGGCACGGAAATATACTGGTGTTCATATGCATGTGTACATATGTAACTATTCCCGTTTAAGGTGCTTCATTATTTTTTTTTCAATGCGAATTTTTAATGCTGTTATCAGGTGGTCACGCATTTCATATAATTCTCGCAGTAAAAATTTTGATTGATTTCTTGATTAAATAACGATTAAATCATATGGCTAGTACATTTTTGTGCGGCTCACAGTTCTCCCACTACAAGTATGTATGTATATACATATGTAGTCATTCATTCAGATATGTACTGGTTATTAACCGACTTTACAAATAAGAAAAGGTTATCAATTCGTCCGAATATTACGACGGTTAATAAAGTCATGTATCTACATACATATATATGTAAATTGCGCGCACTTCGAAGCATTTTAAAGGACAAACAAATGATGAAAAATTGCTTAATGATAGTTTTATATGAAAAAGCATAGACAATTGACAGCTTAAAAGACAAACATGTGAAGATGGAAGAGCATATTTGCATATAAATATTTGCAACCAATAGAAAATATTGCTATTCGTCAATTTGTTTAATATCCATTTATTTTATTTATTTATTTATTTATTTATTTATTTATTTATTACAGTCATTTGACCTATATACATTCACGTATATACATTTGAATTATGTATTGCAATATACAATAAAAGTAAAGTTAAATTTAATGCTTAAAATACGTTAACCTGTTACATAATTCCTTCTAAGCTATATAATAGTATGTATATTTAACTAAGATAGCATATTCTCGATGCTGTTGGAATGGACGGGATTCCAAGCAGTACCGTAAATATATCACGTACGATATGCGGTCTAAGAGTGTAATTTCCAGAGCCGCCAAGGACTAGTTTCCAAGCCGCTTCTTATATACTTCTCTACCGGCAGGCGATCTGAATGGACGAAATCCAGAGTCGCGCTATTTGATCGGACGGAAAGGACTAGTTTCAATGCCGACCTTCTTATTTCATACATTATGGGTGATCTGAATGGACGAAATCCAGAGTCGCGCTATTTGATCGGACGGAAAGGACTAGTTTCAATGCCGACCTTCTTATTTCATACATTATGGGTGATCTGAATGGACTAAATCCAGAGTCATCCAGCTAGTACGGATGGAAAGGACTACTTTCCATGCCGGACCTTTCTATCTAATATCCAATGTTCTACAGTGATCAAGTAGTAGTATACAGCGGCAGCCTGAAGCTATTATTTCCCCTGAGTAAATACGAATGGGTTTCACTATTACATCGTAGGATATCACTCAGATAATCTGGGAGTCTACCTTGTTTTATGTTAAACACGAATTTCATAGCGTGATAGAAAATGTGCTGTTTCACGCTCAGCCAGTTTAATTCTGCGATCATTTCCTATATGGGTGTGTCGTACCGCTTGTTCAAGATAAATCGCATAGCCCTATTTTGCATTTTTTGAAGCTTACCTATTTGTGTGTCGCTTGCTATAAAAAAGATAGTTGGACAGTATATGAAATGTGGTTCAACTATAGATCTGTAGACCAAAGTCTTATACCTCCTTCCTAAGTACTTACATGATCTTTTCATGAGACCAATTTTTTTACCAATTTTTGCTACTGTGTAGTCAATATGTTCCTCAAATTTTAACTTATCATCGATATATATACCTAGATATTTAATGATTCTCACTTTCTCAATTACTTCATCTTTAATTTTTAAACTGTAATTATCGGAGCTAACGTTAGCTGCTCTAGATATGACCATAAACTTTGTCTTGTTCACATTTAATTGCAGTCTGTTTACGCACAACCATTTATACAAACAATGAAGGTCTTCCTGCATTTTAATCATTGCATTGGGTAGATTATAGTCACTGAGGGTTAAGAGGGTATCGTCGGCGAACAATTTTATCTTACAATACTTCAATGCTGAGTTTATGTCGTTGATATAAATATTAAAGAGTATTGGAGCTAACACCGACCCTTGTGGTAGACCAATATCTACTGCTACCTTTGTGGATAGAGCTGTGCCAATCACCGTTTGTTGCTTCCTATCAGAAAGAAAACTACGGAACCATGTAAGTTCGATGTTATCTATACCAATATATTCGAGTTTTTTTAGCATTATTTCCCTGTCGATTGTCTCGAAGGCTCTCTTAAGGTCCACAAACACCGCCAAGATAGTTTTCTTGGAGTTCAGGTCCTCCTTCCATTAGCGCTGTTTCGCATGAGTGATTAGCCCTAAAACCTGACTGCTCCTTAATGAGTATTTTATTTGACTCAATATAGTTTAATAGTTGATTTTTTACAACCGTTTCCAGTATTTTTTTCTAAGTTGGGAAAGGTGTTTATTGGCCTGAGCTCCTCCGATTTCCAGGGGCTCAAAAGTTTGCCTCAAAACATACATACATATATAGGCCGTTTTATATATTAAATATAAGTATGTGTGTACGCATGGGTCTTATATTCTATAAGTTATAGTAAACGGCTAATAACAAATCTAACCTCTTGATTAGCGCTGTAGCCACCCGCCTCATAGTGGTCGAGATAGCAAATCTTGCGTAAGAAAATTAATATCTTCCAAAATATAGCAATCATCTCCCGTTTTTTTTTCATTATTTTGGTGCCGGTTGCTCAAAGCCTGGTTGACATTAATCATCGATTAACATCATTAACGATGTTTTCTACTCCATGCAACCGGCCCTAAGAGAATTAATAAGGAACAATTTGAAAACAGGTTTATTTTATAATTTTTTTATTCCAAAAATTGTAAATCAGTTTTTTTCTATTTTAATAGATATGTAAGTACTTTCATTCGCGGTTAAGAACAGGCGCCAAGAACAAAAGACATGATCGAAACTAAACGTCATTCTCGTAGTTTTGTTCCCAAGAACGCTCAAAAGCCCAAACCGAAATGGGAACCAAACCGTCTAGAATGTTCTCAACAGGAATTATATAAGAACAAAACCCTGTGCAACGTTCACAAAGAAAACAAAATGATAACCATATTTTCGGGAACATTTCTAAGAGAACAAACTGGGAACAAAAGTCTCCGGAATATTCTGGCAAAGAACAAAATGCTAATATAAGTCTAAGGAACTTTCTTTGGAAGAACCATTTGGGAACTTAAGTCCCAGGAACTTTCTGACAGAGAACGAAACGGGAACAAATATTTTTTGAACTATTCACGCGAAGAATGGAAGCGAGAAATGTTTGAATATTAAAACAAGTCAAAAAAGAACTGAGATAATTATGCGAATTCCCAACAAGCATTTAGGTTAGAGAACGATTAAAAAAACGATTCGAATTGTCTTGTGTTTCTGTAAGGTAGAAGGTTAGGAGATGTTTAGAGAAACTGTCGAAAATTTTATTTAGCATTCTCTACAAAAAGGTCTTAGCTCACGTTATCGAGAAAACGGTGAAATATCTAATCGTATTTTAAAGCAGGGATCACACGATTTATACATTAGCACATTTGCATTTGGGAATTTTAACATAGTTCTCTAAACTGATTTTCAAATTGCGAACTACATTAGAATTCTAATATAAAATCAAAATATTTTCTCTAACGTTAGACACGGTATTTACTAGTTCAAGTCAACGAAACACTTTAGAAACGAACTTTACTTGCACAGAAAGTTAAAAATTTTTTCGTAAATGGACAGTTCACCCTAATGATAAATGATCTGGAAGTTGAAATGATCCCAACTTTCCTCTGACTTAGAATTAACCATCATGGTTCTCACTGAAACGATTTTTCATCCCAACACGCAGACGCTCCTCTCATTCTTAACGTTCTCGTTTTGTTCTATAGCAGAACGTTCAAACTGCTCTCAATACTGTTTCCCATTTGGTTTTTACTGCGAACGTTCTTGACATTACATTTTCTTCTTATGCAGAACTAAACCATAACCGGAACGCGTTCTTGGTACCTGGTTTATAATGAGAATTATTTAAATTGGTATGTGAAAAAATACTCAGACTCTGAACTCTATTCAAGATTTAATATTTCACCCTGTAAATTGATACTTTGTTTTTGTATGAAATAGGAGCAGGAAAAGTGGTTACTCATACGCTATAACGTACATAGGCGTCTCGTTAATACTCGTACATGGCGTATGAGTAACATTTTACATTTTTTAAGTTGGCATTTTTTTCATTCGCAATGCAAACTTAAATGAAAATATCTTGGAACTGGTAAATGCCTTAAAGTGCTAATGTCTGTTTCAATGGGCACGAGCAAAAAGATTTTTCTTAAACGAATCATCTACAGACAGGCATAGCATCCTCACCACAATAGTCCAGCGAATTATAAACATGAATTCATGGTAGAGCAATTCCAATTATGTTCCCCAGTAATTGTAATTAGGAATCAATTCCTTCAGTCCACAGCAAAGGAATCGTTTACTGTTTCAACTCCCTAGCAGTAATTTCAAATGTAATTTCTTTTATTCTATTGCAAGGACCTGCATATTGTAATTGGAATTAATTTCTTGCTAGTAATGTAATTTTTTTCCAATTCTTTTTAAAGGCAATCGTAGGATGCTCCCAAGTTCTACTGGGTATAGTCATTTGCAGCATTGTGCCCAATAGACTGACTTCACCAGCTTTGTTATTTATAGCATTTATTTCATGTAAGAGAAGGTCAAAAAATAACGCTTGGCGATCATTATTGACAAGCTGGAAATTTTTCACCTGAGTGCACCGCAAATTCTAATTTATGCCCACGCATCTCGACCAGCAATCTTTATACAAGCGCAACATCACACTTACATTAGGGCGGGTCAATTTGTATGGGAAACTTTTTCGGCTATGCGTGTATAGCACAGAAGGATTCTACGAGTAATTCTAAGCAAATTTGTCGAAGAAACCTTGGGTCTAAAATCTTGAGGTTTTTTTGTAGATAGTGTAGAGGATTCATAAATTTTGTATAAAAACAAATTTTAGTCCCGATTGGAGACGGTTAAGTCGTGTCGCACAGGGGCAAAAGTTCAGATTCCTCTATAGAGATTAAAGAAATTTTAAGTTAAATTATTAAGAAATCTGATGTAAAAATTTGCTTTCTACATTTAAGGACCACCCTAATGTACATACATACATATTTATGAAATTCATCACATTAATTCAGTTTTCCTTAAATTTGCAGCTACATTCATACATCGCTGTGCTGCCTTGCAAGTAAACACATCGAGCAACAAAAGTGTGCCATAAATGTTTCGTCGTGTCCTTTCGTACAGCATCATTGGCGCTGGCGTCGTTAGCACCGGCCTTAGTCTACACACAAACGACTACGATGTCAACTCCTTGGGTATTGTGCGTCTCGGCCGTTCGGCAATCACTGTTTTCGATGTGGCACTCACTTACAAACGCGAACTGTTCTATCGTGAGTGGGACAAAAACATGCCCGAGTATAAAGCGGAAAAGAGTCGTGTACACAAAATAGCCGCCCAAAAGTTACTAGAACTGATTTGCGTCAATAAGGGTGTTTACATAAAAACTGGCCAACATATTGGTGCATTGGAGTATTTACTACCCAAAGAATTTGTACAAACAATGAAAATACTACACTCGAATGCACCACAAAATCCTATCGAGGATTTATACAAAGTCATACGACAAGATTTAAAACAAAATCCTGAGGATATATTTGAGACCTTTGAACCAAATCCACTTGGAACTGCATCGCTAGCGCAAGTGCATAAGGCAACACTCAAAACGGGCGAGGTGGTCGCTGTTAAAGTACAACATCCCTATGTGAAGGGAAACTCCCGCGTCGATATGAAGACTATGGAGGTACTAGTGAAATTGATGTCACGCGTTTTCCCCGACTTCAAAATACAATGGCTAGTCGATGAGTGCAAAAAGAATTTACCTGTGGAACTGGATTTTCTGAATGAGGGCAAAAATGCAGAGAAAGTAGCGAAGCAATTTCAAAAATACTCATGGCTACGTGTGCCGAAAATTTATTGGGAACTAAGCTCACCGCGTGTACTAGTCATGGAGTACTTGGAAGGTGGCCAGGTGAACGATCTGGACTATATTAAGCAGCATAAAATCGATCCATTTACTGTGTCGAATAAGATTGGACAATTGTATTCGGAAATGATTTTCACAACGGGTTTCGTGCACAGTGATCCTCATCCTGGTAACATACTTGTACATAAAAGTCCAAAGGGACAAGTAGAAATCATATTATTAGATCATGGTCTCTATGCGAATCTAACTGACAAATTCCGTTATGAATACTCAAAGCTCTGGCTCAGCATATTGAACGTCGATCGACAGGCTATGCGTGTGCATAGTCAGAATTTGGGTATCAAAGGTGATTTATATGGATTATTTGCTTGCATGGTTACGGGGCGACCGTGGGAGACACTAATTCAAGGCATCAACAAAGTGAAGTACACCAAAGAAGAGGTGAGTAGAAATTAAATTGCATTCATTTTTCTTTTGAGATACAACAACAAATCACTGCATATTTATGCCACACAGAAAGAAACGCTGCAAGACAACACCTCACTTGTATTGCCACACATCGCCGATGTGTTAGAGCAAGTTGATCGCCAAATGCTGCTCATACTTAAAACCAACGACCTGATTCGCGGCATAGAAGCTACGTTACGTACACAAAATCGCATGACTGCCTTCTGGGTTATGTCCAAATGTTGTGTTCATTCGACTATTAGTGAACAAAAATCACTGGACTCAACGCGTTGGAATGCGCTGAAATTGTTGGTGCGTGAGAAGTGGGAAATATTCAAATTGAACATCTACTATGTGTACTTGGGCTGCATTAATTTTGGCTTTTTCGCAGCGTTAAAGCAGCTGTTATAGAATTAAATGTGCCTTAAGGAATTTTAATTTTCATACAAATATACATAGATAATTTATGGTTGGCATATGTGTATATAGTATATGTATGTAGATAAGTTGCTAAACTATTTATGCTACTATGTACATCCACCTTTTTTAATGTAACACTTCTCTCAACTAGCGGATAAGTGAGCTGCAGCGTACAAAATACTTGTTGTAAGTTAAAATATAAGGCGAAATAAAAAACTCAGTGAAAGTGACTAACAAAAATGTATTAGATAACTAAACATAAGAGGAGAACTTCACGCCAGTTTTGGACAATTGTTTGGTTCTACAACCGTTCGTCTGTGTGGGCCGATACCAAAAAACTACGCCAATGGCCTTTGTGGTTTGCGAGGTGGCGCCAGTCGTACATCCCGATTGCAGACAGGGCATTTTTCAGATTAGCCCAGTAGATAATTTCAGGAGTTAAAAGCCCTTTCGAAAGGCCTGCCTGAGAGTCAAGAGGCCTTCCATTCTACAGTGCTTTCTCCTTTCTTTTTTGTATGGAGTGGCACAAATTGAAGGACTTCTTCTTTCGCTACTCATAGGAGGCCTTCCAGATGAGCAACATTAAACAACCAATAAAAAAATAGCCAAATCTGGCAAAACTGTGTCCTTATTAATTTGCACATGGCTGTATATGGGGCAATTCACGTCAAATGTCCCAAGCGCGCTGAGCAGTGCGAAACAAGCTGATTTTCGACTATCTGGGAAGCAGACAAAAAATGGGAAAAGAAATTCGAAAACTATGATTTCTATAAATTTTTGTACGCGCTATCCGATGGAGCTATGCGTTTTCAGAAATTTTCCCATTTTCATTACATTTATATATTATCATTATATTTACATCTGCTTTTGCTTAAGGTTATATTTTTTGTCTTTTTTCTGTCTAGAACCCTACCTCTATCCTGTCATTCTGTTTTTCTTTATCTTTATTTGTATCTTTATACTCTATGGATAACAAAATCGATAGTAACATTCATCAAAATATCGATAACAAAACCGCTGAAAATATCAATAACTATTTCCATAACAAATTCGGTAAAAATATCGATACAAGATCGATAACAAATTCGATCCAAATATCGATAACAAAATCGATAAAATATCGATAACTAAATTGAAAAAACAACAAAATTGATAAAAATATCGATAACAAAATCTATAAAAATTTCGATAACAAAATCTAAAAAAAAATTGGACTCGTGCGATTTTAAATTGTTCTGCAGTAAAATTAAATTCCTATTACGCTACCGTGACTAACGCGAAATGCGTTAAAAATAATCAATCATTTATAAAAATTTGAAAATAAATAAATAAACGACTCGCCCTAAACTTTATTATTGTTAAAAGTGCCGATACACCTATCAAAGCGCGGTATTTAAGTAGATTTTCCTTTCTGCGTTGTGCATATAGATGGTCCTCTGCAATAACGACACAACTCGCAACTCAAAAAAAAAAACCTATACTACTGTTAAGTGCATCATATCTCTAATCCTTGCTTAAGTAAGTAGAAAGGCTTACCAATTGAGTAGAAAGGATTAGAGACATGGATTAAGCAAGGCTTAGGGCACTTGAAGTAGAGGTTCCCTTTTTTTGAAAAAAAAAACTTCGTTTAGCCACTTCAAGTATTTCGCAAAACTTCTAATACACAATTCTGCGTATTTAAAGCAAATGCCAATTCCATACGAATCAGAAAGATACGGTCTTTATTAAAAGATTTCGTATTATTTTGGCCTCGTCGGTTTTTTGGTGTTTCCTTTGGACTTGGCAAATTTACCTTTCATTGAATATAAACGAGAAATAATAAAATAAAAGTACCTTAATTCTTTTCGAAAGTACCTTAACCCTTTTCGAAACAACGCATTTTTAATTTGTCATGCTCTCTATTTCAAAATATGACTTTTCAAAAAAAGTGGACTTAGCAACTTTTCACTCTAAGTTAGCGATATATCGTACCATTACTGCAAGAGTGTAATATGTAATCAAAAAAAAAGTTGTTTTAGTTTATGCTGAAATACGCATGCGCACCGAGTAATAATAGGTTCTTTTCTTAGAAGAAAATGTGTCTTCATTTTTACCACGCGGCTGTAAACTTTAATTCCGTTATTCTCAAATTTTTAATTCTTCGACGCTCTTGTAGTAAAGGTACGATATAAATATGTATGTACATATATTATGATTACCTCTCTGTGCCTCTGCTGAACGTTTATTGCGTGTAATACCGGCCTTTTTTTTATTGTAACAGAGACATGCGGAAAAAAATAAATGTTAATTTTTATTTGAACTTAGTTACTGCTGCAACACGATTCTCTTGCATACATACGTACCAAAATCAAGCCGAAGCACAAGAATAGCAATAAAATAATGTAAAAGTAATACAAACTGCCCCAGTACCAATAATCATCAGTGATGATAACAGTACCCGAAGCTGCTGGTTCAACCGTTGTGGATAGCCACGGAGTTTCTGTTACATTATCGCTACTGGCCGTTGTTAGAGCGGTAGTAATCGCGATACTTTTATTACCGGCAGAATATACCGTTGATGTACTGTTTCGTAAATGTGAGGTTATAGTCGTCCCGACGGTTGTACCGACCGTTGTAATGCTAGCAAACATGACCGACATTTTAAGGATACCAAACGTTACGCAGCAAAGATATTTTTCAACTAAAAATTAAGTTTATCCGAAATTGTAGGGCAACTTTTGATTTTCTATGCACGTATGCACATATGTATGTATGTATATATGTTTTCGACTTTAATTCTTGGCTTTGTTTGTTCATATGTACGTACGTATGTATTTGCGCAAATATTTTTAGAAAAGATTACATACTGGCATTTGTGTATATACATACATACGTGTGTCTGTGGGTGTGTGTATGTATGTTCATTTGTTTTTACCGTTAAGCCAATACTTGCCTTTTGCCAATAAAGGCGGTAAAGGTGCGCAAATTTTATCTAACTTATAGGATTTTCTTCGATGAAACATTGACAAATGAGCTGATAAGGTAAGTAATTATGTGTAAAATATGAATATTTCCTATGCTTCTATATAATAGGGGTATTCTCGAATTCCCGTATAACCCTTGCACAGTTTGGAAAGTTTTCCCATAGGAAAGCCAGTTCTACCGTGCAACGTTCAAGGGTTTTTCAAGACTTAGGGCCGGTTGTTCAATGTCTGGTTATCACTACTTGCCGGTTAAACATCATTATCGACGGCTTCGACATCATGCATATAACATGTGATCGATAAAGCAGTTGTTGTATCTAACCGGAGCTTCTACCTCCGATTTTTGCTAATCAGACATTGAACAACCGGCCCTTAGAGAATACCCCTATTATTCTTGGGCGTGCATATGCATTAAGATAGACAAAGAAAGTTTGGGTTTCTGTATTTTTTTAAAGGAGTATTTAGTTTGTTCGTAACATGCAGTGGCGTGGCAAGGGGGTGTGGATAGATGCGACAGCTATTGAATAAAGTAATATTTTTTACTTTTGATTTAATAACAATACCATTTTATTTTTCTGATTTATAATTTTTTGTTTATTTAAGGCTAGTGACAAAATGCTTTTTTATAAATATTTGAGATTACCAATTGAATTACACTGGTCGGTAGCAAAAAAAAAAGCAAGCACGACATCTATATATTTTTATTTCGTTTATATATTGGTTGCAGACTTCGAATATACCATTCGTTCCTTTTTTTTTGAACATTAAAATCTAAAGATTATGTAAAAAAATGAAATTACAAAAGAGAAGAAAACATAAAAAAAATCAGTGTCGGAGGACTTGGCAGCGCTACATCACTGTAGATCACTGTAGACAGTATTTAAAAAATTTAATATATGGCTTCATTTCACTAAAATTTTAATTTACGTGTTAACTTTTCAAAAGAGGTTGTACACACTTACCTGGTTATCTGGTTAAAAATTATTATTGTGAGCGTGTTTGAATCAGTAACAAAGTTCGCGGCGAGTAAATTTTTGACAAGGGCATAGAAAATTTTGACAATCGCTAAGATTGTTGATGTGTGCAACTTTTCGTTAAATAAAAGCTTAAATTGATGAATTGCAATCAACGATGGTAGATGTTTTCTTAAAATATTAACTTCACTTCAATTTGTAATATTTTATTCCGCATAAATCTACGGTTATCAAAAATTTACCACTGTCAAAAAAGATTTCATTTCACACAGCAGATTGGCAAAACGGTTCCACCATAGTAAAAATATTATTCAACAGCTTTCCTCTTAGAACTTTGTTACCGATTCACACACGCCCTGTATAGTGTATTTTATTAATGTAAACTGAGTAAAAAATATAACCACATAACCCACGATTGAGAGAAATAGAGGTTGCGCCAATCACGATACCGCTACTCCTATCTCAGTGAATTTGACAGAATCGTTGTTTGTATGACGTCACACTTGTGCAACTTGTTTACGTTTTCCTTGCAACATTTTTTCTTCTTCTTCCATTCTTGCTTACGTTTTGGCATTTCTCTCTCGCAATTGCACCAGTGTGACGTCGCACAAAAGTTATTCTCAAAAATCCTCTCTGATAGACGCAATCTTGTATTCTAACATTCTTGCACATAACCTGATAACCAGGCAAGCGTGAACAACCTCAACGTTTTCAAATTTTTGCTGGACCTGGCTCTTCACCTCTAAATTGAACTCGAGGGTTATTTGTAGTATATTTAGCGCGTAAATTCACTAATTCAAATTCTTGAAGTGTAAGAGTTAACATTTACCTGGTTGCAGAAGTCGATATTTTCGGCGTCGAGCTTTAATGATCACCTTCAATTAAATATTTTGAAGAGAATTATATTTTATTAATATAAACACGCTATAGATAATTTGAATTTCTGTCACTTCACCTTCCCAAGTAATATGCACAGCCCGGCAAGGAGAACAAAAAGTACCACCAAATAGTTATAGAGTCCAAACCAATTGCAACAGTGGAATACGGAATTTGATTGTGTGGTTGTTGGTGTTTGTACAGCGCTGATCGTTGTATAATTTACCAAGCCATTCATAGGCGTAACGGTATTGAAATTTTCGTACATTGCGATTTATGTGAAATTCGATTTTGACTGTTCGTAATCGTTTGGTTCGTTTTCGTATGCAAACCCAAAGAAAAACTATTTAAAACATTTTACTCCTTTGTAGCGACTACTTTTTGCCATCCGTTCGTTACATGTTAACTTTGCGACTGTTATTTTTGA